CTATATGCCAAGAAGGCCAACGGATCCTTCCAGGCTTGCCTCACTTCTGAGGAGCTGCAGCATCTGAACGGGTGAGGCCTCTCCGGCCAGTGCATTCACACATTCTGCTTGCAGTCGCAGCTACACATGCAAAATGAAGCCCTGTGGTTGCATTGTATTTCCATCGAAGCCAGCTATTTCTGATTTATGTGTTTCTTATAAATCCGGGTTTACAGGTTCCTCTTCTGATGCCAAGGCCAGAGAATGTGTGGCAAAATACAGAACGCATAAGCTCCCGTATATGTATATACGTATATAATACATATATATATATATATGTATATATGTATCCCCCCTTCTCTCTACCTGGAACTTTGTCTCCTGCCGCTGCCATATATAGAGCATTTTGGCCTTCGTCGAAGGCCTCGCCTCGAGTGGTTGCTTTTGCTTCGAAGGCTTCGCCTCTTCTGTGATGGCGGCCGCGACGCAGCAGACGGAGGCTGCTGAAACTGCTGCAGAGCTGCAGACCCAGGAGCCTGCAGAGGCTGCAGCTGTTCAAGAGCTGGTGACCAAACCAGAGCCGGAAAGCCCGCCCTCTCAGGCAGCCCCTGCGACGCAGCTGCAGGCCGCACCCTCGGGCTACGAGCTGGGTTCCCTGGTTGTGCCGGCCGTGGATCCGAACGTGCCGACCGTGCACCACGCAGCGGCCTTTATCTGCTGCACCTGCGGCCAGGAGTGCACGGAGTCCGTGACGTGTGCTCGTCACAGCAAGGGCTCGGAGGTCCGCCGCTGCAGACGCTGCCATGCTTCCAAGTCGGCGATCCAGCGCCTGGCGAGGGCCCACGACGGGCTGGTGCAGGACTTCGCCCGCATCTCGGACAGAGCGGCTGTGCAGACCTTCTTTAAGCTTTAAGGAGCATGGCCACCTTCGTGGGAAGGACCTGGTGGCACGGATCGAGGAAACGGTGCAGTGTTGGCAGACCGAGAGCACCAAGAACTCGTTCAGAGGAACGGGGGAATTCCTCGACGAGCACGAATTGTGGACTCGCTACAAGGACAAGCCGGATGGAGCGCAGCAGTACGAGAGCGTGAAGCGGAACAGCAAACAGCTGTACGATCGTGTCCGGGAGGTGACTCTCTACGAGGACATGAAGTATACAACGGCTCACGAGGACACTGTCGAGAGAGGCAGAAAACGCCAGCGGAACCTCTCGGCTCAGCAGGACATGGCAGAGGAGGCGGAGGACGAGGAAGGCCAGGGCCACGCCGAGAAGAAGAAGCCGCTCTTCCGCAAGAAAGGCAAGGGTGGCGAGGGCCAGCTGCCGAAGCTGAAGAAGGGTGATCGGTCGAAGATCACCAAGAGAATGGAGGCGGTAGCCTCCCAGCGGATGCAGTGCTTGGACTTGTTGTCCAGGGCGGACAAGTTTGACGGCATGGTGCCGGCCTATGTCTGCGACTGTGCCAAGGACTGCATCACTGAGGCTTTGGCGGCCCAAGAGGAGGTGGACCAGATTTTGCTGGATGGCCACGGCTCCGCCAACGACGTCCTGGAGCAGGCGGACAAGATCTTCAACAACATCAGCTCGGCCACCAGCCGGCTGAAACTGCAGGTGGAGCAAGCGGCGAGCTTCAAAACCCTGTAGATAGGGCCC